CTTTTGTAATTTGTTATTTCACATCATCAATCATTATAAATCTTCACTTTAGTAATGTAAATCATTACAGTAGTATCATAAATTGTCATACTAATATTTCAATGCTAAAAAAAGAGAAACATTGACCAAAGGATAAGATTAAATTTATTTCGGAGTTCAAAGATCACAAACAATACAAAATATAATTCAAGTTTCATTAATTTTTTTAGTTATTTAGGGTGCATACAAACGTTAGTATCTGTTCTAAAAACTCTCATTATTTGATAATGAATGTTCAAATATCTTGCAGTCTCTGGTGCTCAAACATGTAACCTCTAGGAATAACAATTATTCTTTTAACCACTGAGATAACTTGATTGGTGCGGCATTAATTTTTTTTAAATACAAAAATCTCATATGTCCTTTTACCTTAATATATAATCTATATAATTTAAAATAAAATAAAATATCAACTTAGAACTCTTATAATGCATGATGATGATGATGATGATGATGATGATGATGATGATGATGATGATGATGATGATGATGATGATGAGGAGGAGGAGGAGGAGGGGGAGGAGGAGGAGGAGATTTAAAACAAAATAAAATATGAACTTAAAGTTTTTATATTATATAATTTACCATGATAATGATTTTACACCAAACTATATATATATATTATATACTCGAAATTGAAGAGCATACCTTGAGATATTAAATCAAAGTAGTCGTCCCACTAGATAAAACGACATTAGGAGGGTGGGCCAAATGAATCAATCCGATTGATGTAAAATGAATGAAACTCTATGATGAAGAAATGCCACATTGTTTACCTGGAATTCACCCAACACAATCACTCAAAAAAAAAAAAAAAAAACACCCAACACAAAGCCTACTTCTATCTTAAATATTAAGGCACACAATAGTTAATTAATTAGGTAAGTGAAATCTCAATTGATTTTCCTCACGCATTAAAAATAATTTTTTAAGAGTGGAGATGAAGATGAAAGACCAAATCAACATACCATTATTAAATTATATACATCAAGCTCAGATGACCGTAACTTGAACGAATAACAATTGTAAGAGGAGTTTCTTAGATGGCCGAAATCTTGAAAAGAAGATGGTCAAATCTTGTTATTTCTTTCTCTGGGTGGATCATAACATGGTGTTGTATACAAAAGTTATCCTTTCATGATTTCTAAGGAAACCTAGAAAAATGGAGAGAGAAAAGAAAAATGAGAGAATTTATATTGGATTTGTACATTGGTTGTATGTCCATGACTGTTGTAGGTTTCTAAGTAAAAAACGATTTTTTTATATGCCTCTTAAATTTTTAATTTTCTCTCTTTTTTCTCGAATATTCTTGGTTCTCTTCTTTTTTTCTCTAAAAAAAAATCATACTATGGTATCTCTTTTCTCTCAGATGATTGAACGAACATAATGCTTCATCTCTTCTTTTTCTCTAATAAATTTGATTAAATGAATCGATTCATGAATATTTTCTCACATGAGTGTAACACCCCCAACCCGTATCCGATCCGAATACGAGTCTGAGATGTCACATCAACTTTTCAAACCATTTCTTATATCAAAAATAGAGGAAATTTCATATAAAATTTAAGCATACGAAATAATTTACATATATTAATCAAAAGTTTACAAAACAGTTCAGAGCTTTTACCATTAAATTCTTTAAATACATGCCAATAATATAATACAACAAAAAGACCTGGTAAATCCTTCTTATCTGATCTTTGTAGAAGCTATATTTTCTCCTCACTATCTTCTCTGCGAACTTCTTGAATCCTACGTGTGAAACAATCACACGCTAAGTCATAGACTTAGTGAGACATGTAAATACGTCTGTAAACTAACAAATGCATGTACATATCATGTAATAAAACATCATACTTGTATACATACTTAAATCATCATTATCATGCTTATCGTTACTTATTTTATTATCACTAATTATTTTCTATCATATGTGTATATAATTAACATATACACATGCCTATCTTCACCACAATGCATGAATTATTATTACTATCATGAACTTATTATTTATACACATCGTATAGCACAAATACCAATTTCACAAAAGAACACACAAATTATCATAGCAAGTTAGTTATTATCTTGAAAGCCCATGTATACTTTTGAGAACTTAAGGTATGTGAGTACATAGAGGTTGTGCACATATGCTTTCACCACAGCTCATATAATTCCCACTAGGGGCGCATATAATTTGTCCCGAATGACCACTATGTCCCGAAGGACCACATAAAACACATATGTCCCGAAGGACCACGTAGAACCCTCGACTCTTGGCATGCCAACTATACCCCTAGCTCTCATAATACATAACACGGGCATTGTTATTATATTATCACACTTTTACATATTCATATCATATACACATATAAGCTCATGGCTTCCGATCACATATATCGTGTAATACTCACTTGGAGTCTTATTTCTTCTTATCACATATCACATATCACGTTTTCATACGATTTCATATTCACATATCCCTAGGCTTGTTTCTTGTTCTTATATCTTCTCATATACATGTAAACACATATTTTCTCATCTTATAACTTATATTACATATGCATGTAATCTTATGACTTATTATCAAGTAGACAAGGTATCATTCTTGTATTGTTTCATAGGTCATTTTCGTATAACACATATCACATAAATGCATGTTACATAACATGTAATGAAAACGAGGCACATTCACATAATACAATCCTAATCATGCATCGACTCATACTATCATATATTCATATAAATCACCTACATATAATACATACTAGGCATATTCACACATACATGTATTCACACATATCACATATACAAATGCGCTTACCTTTAACATATACATGAACTCAGATACATCTAAGCCTCATATCCCTATATACTTATATTCACATACTCATGCAACCTAATATGGGAATTAGACTTATCACAAGTCTTAATTCCATAACATAACTTACTCTTATCATCATGTACTCACCTAGGTCTCAATAGACACTACCAAACTCTTGTTCTCTTGAGAATCTTACTCTGACGATCTATCAGAACTTTGCTTCCGATCGATATCTACACAAATACACAATTTAATGAATGACGAGATTCAAACTATTTAATACGATTCATATCGATATAAACTAATTAAACTCCACTTTCAACTTTCCCCCTTAAGTGGTATTGGTACCACCCTTAGGGTACCGATACATCTAAGCTATGGTACCGATACCTTATCCAGTTACTGATACCAAATTTTCTTCGAAGTTCCCCTTGTATCGATACCCTCCACATAGGTATCGATACCTCATCCATAGGATATCGATACTGTTCATACAAGTACTGATACCCCTTGCATCAAATCCTCGAAAATAGCCTTGAAGTATCGGTACCCTCTCAACAGGTACCGATACCCCTTGCCCAGATTTCATTTTCAAGCCCGAAAATTAAAAACTTACCTCCAAATTCTACTTCTTAATTTTTCCTTATGTCTTAAAACTCATCCATATACATGCAAACACTCTTTAAACATCATAACACTTCATTATCTTTCATAACTAACCATAATTCTTGAATCAAAGAATTTCACCAATTTTCCATGTGTTCTAAATTCATTTATATTATCTATAACTTCTTAATTAAACCCTTGACAAGTCAAAAATCTTATCCAAACTCTAAAAACACTCTATATAAAAAAATCATCTTAAACTCATTTTACAAATCTCTTCCTAATTCACTCATCTTATTGTTTAAATCCCATATAAACTTCCCTTAAGCTTATTTAACTCTCAAAGAATCAAAACCCACTTGGAAATTCAAGAAATCAACAATAAAAATCCAACTTACCTTGTAGCTAGAGCACACGTGAAGAAGAGGAAAGCAAGAAGAATAAGAGAGTTCCAGATAACTCTTCCCCCCACGTGTTTTACTCCTATATAAAGGGAAAACATATCTTTTAAAGAAAAATACCATAATACCCTTTCAATCTTTCCACAATTACAATTTAATCCAATATTGAAATATTCCTTTTTAAGTCCTTGAGCTTTTAAATTTTCCTACATTGATCCTCAAATTTCAAAAATTCTCATTTTAATCACTGACCCCGGATTTTGGGATGTTACAATGAGAGTCAAAGAGTTGGTCAACTGTAATGTGACATGGTCAAATAATGCTAAGTAAGTTGACTTAACATTCTATATCAATCTTTAGTAACTACATTTTTAGTACCATAACTATCACTTTTGTTCCATTTTGGTCATCCAACTATTTTTTGTTTCAAAACCATGCCTAATGTTATGATTTGGTTTCATTTTAATCATCCATGATTAAAAAATTAATGGTGATGTTGACGTGTTACCACAATGACATGTCATTATTATTTTTTAAAGAAAATATCACCTCAACAGTTTTATTAATTTTTTAATTACAGGTGACCAAAATAAAACCAAATGCAACATTAAATATGGCTGTCCCTTTTTCCCATATATATGGGGTAAGGGGGAGGTAAGATAGTAGGCTACCCCCAACACCAGGTTGAGAGCAACTTCCGTAAGAGACCTCCGAATTATGAAATGCCCTCCGTGGGACTTGATCCCATTTGAAAAAAATAATAATTGGATGACTAAAATGAAATAAAAGTGATAGTTGGGGGTACTAAACTTATAGTTTACCTCAATTTTTATCCAACCTCATCTTTTTTCACGGTTTAAACTTCTACATTTCTTAAAAAATTAAACTTTCATATTTTTTTAATAATTTAGAGTGATTATAAAATATTATATGTTTGAAATATTTCTTGATTATTAACAAGACACACCTTATAGACGTTACTCCTTAGACCTAGAATATAAGAGGTAACAGTTCTCATTATAAGCTTATACTTTTTAAGAATATTGAAAGAAAAGAAACCTATTGCTACCATTTGAAATAATGAAGCAATAAGTCTATAACTTGAATGTACAAGAGTTAATAAAGGCTTCTGATTATACGGTATACGTTTCTAATTTCAGATTCCACACATATGATACATTCAATCTGGTATTCATCACATAGTGCATCTTAGGCATGACACTTTTTATTTCAATAAAACTGTACCAAAACCAGTAAACTTGGTGGGAAGCTAAGGTAGTATTCCTATTCTACAACATGGGCAATGAGCATTATTTTGTAGCCACGGGACCAAGCACCTCGAGTGAAACCGGTGCGCGCACGGCGGATGAACCAGGCTCTCGCCGGCTTTGAACCTTTCCAAGCAAATCGCACACTCATCCTGCTCCATCGCCTTCCAACTCAGTTTACCCCAGCTGAACCTCTTCTTTGCTCCATACACTTCACTCTGCAATTCCCCTTGATCCACCACACACTTGGTAATCTCTTTGCTCTTGTGCCTGAAATAATTGGTGTCGTGTACCCAAAACAAGGGGCAATAATAGCTTTCAATACTATAAATTAACATTCTTCAATTACATAATACTGAAAAGGTATAATATCAAAGTTAGTTTCTCAACCTTTGCCAAAATGATGCTTTTAGTCCTTATTCTATTTTGTAGAGTATTTAGGTCACAACATTTTATTTTAGGATAAAAAGATTTGTGATATTTGACTGAATAGTTACTTTAACCCTTATTCTTTTTTTTAGAATATTTTGATCTTTAATGTTTCATTTTAGGATAAAAAAAGTCCAAATTTTATAGCATTAATCATTTATTACTAATAGTTTCCATCTATGAAAGATTCTTTTTACCCTAAAATAAAACTTTGTTATTCAAAATATTAAAAAAAATAAGGGTCAGGCTTATTTTGATATGATGCCTATTAAAAAGCATCCTTAATGTTTAATTGCAAAATATCTTTAATCTTTATTTTGGGTCGTTTGTTTCCATAGAAAACAAATTCTGAAAAAATGAATTTCATAAAATGAATTGCATTTCCTGAAAATTATTTTACGATGTTAGGATAATGTAATGTAATTCATTTTTTACTGGTTGATAAAATTTTAAAAAAAATTTAGTATAAACATCAAATACAATAAATAATATTATTTATCAATAAATAATAATATTATTTTGAAAATATTAGAATAATTTATTTAATATTATTTATGTTGATATTGTTATTAAAATATTGTATCTATCATTTTATAAATAAAAATATTAAAATTATTATATTTTTATTAAAATAAGAATAATATATTATTAATTATATTAATTACTTATTAAAATAATAATATCATTAAAATTTTAATAATTATATTATTAAAATAAAAATATTATTATATTTTAAGAAGTATATTTTAAATATTCAATAATTCAATAATATTATTTTTATAAAAATTATAAATAATATTAATAATATAATATATGTGATTAAAATAAAATTATAATATTACATATTATTAATAATATTATAATTTTAATAAAAATAGTATATTATATTATTAAAATTATCAATAAATATAATTTAATAGTTAATATTTTTATTAAAATAATATATTAGTATTAAACATATAAAATAAAAATATTTTGATTGTTTATGTTTTGAAATGAAAAATTCGTAAAATAATTTACAAAAAATAAGACCATAAGTCATTTTAAAAAAAAAATCTAAAGGACATTTAGTTGTCTAGGAAAAGTAAATTATATTGATCATATGTTTTCTACTAATCAAATACTAAAAAATGAGGCAAACATTTTTCAAAAAATTAATTATAGGGAAAAAAGTAACCTTTTATCTTTTAGACTATTTTGACTTCAATGTTTTATTTTAAGGTAAAAAAACCTTAAAGTTTGGCTAATTTATTACTTTGATTTCATTATTTCAAGACAAAAAATCTAAATTTTAAAAGTTTACTTATCTATTGAATAATAGCATCTAATTCACGAAAATATATTTTTATTTTAAAATAAAACATTAGAATTAAAATATTAAAAAATAAAAATAAAAATTTAATCAAACTTTGATGATATCGTTTCATATTATGTCTTCCTCAATTTACTATACCTTTTGGGTTGTGATTTTCTCTGTGATCTCAGCCTTCCATCTAATCTTTCCCTTGCTTCTCTTACCACCACTCCAAGCTTATCATCTTGATAAGTCTGAGTTGATATGCTCCTTTGCTTTGATTTTCCCCCAGAAAATGAACCCCAAGTTACTCCCAATCATAATCAACAAACAAAAAAGGATATATAATACTCTAAGAAATACCATACCTGTGAGGAAACCGAGGTGTGGTGAGTTTCATGGTTGCTTGCATACAAACAAAAGGAAGACCTCCTCGTTAAGCCAATTACCGCCGCACTCGGCGAATCAGATAAGCCTCCGCTCTGATGGAACCGTCTTCTTCTCGCGCATTCAACACCAGGAAGCATGCCGGCCATTGATTAAAACCTAAAAAAAAAGTATATGAACAAAAAAAAACTCTTGACAGGGACAATTATAGAGGAAACAAAGCGATGATTATAGAGAGAGAGAAGACCGAACATGGGGGTGTTTAGGATTGGGAGGTGGTTGGTTTTGGATCTATGAAAACGAAATGGGAAACGAATGGTTTGGCCGGATAACTTAAGGGGGATTTTAGTGTGGGAGACAAAGATGGGTCCATGCATTGATTGGTGAAAGAAACACTAAGGGTGTCAATCATTTTATGGATTTTCACCCGCTGGAGAAGAAGACGACGACGTCGTCGTCAAAGTTTCTGTGAAAAGAGACTCCATTATTATATGACATGAAAGTAAAAGATGGAAAAGTGGGAGAGAAAGTGAAAAACACAAAGGGTACTGGAACATCAATATTTGAAAGCGATCCAACAGACCATAAAATTATTAAATTTTTTTAATTTAGTCATTGCCCGTTATTTTATATATGAGGTGAAGACATGACAGTTAATAAAATTAATATAATTATATATTTAGCTTTAATATTTACATATTTTATTAATTTAGTTACAATGTTTTAATTTAATTAAATAAATTTAACCATCTAATCCAGACATGCCATGTGTCACCATCTGATTGGTGAGAAAACAAATTGAAATGAAGGGAGCTTGGGGGATTTAAACCAAGGATCCGACAAGCCTTTGCCACTGAGCGAGGCCATCTTATTGGTTCTAAAGTGCATAATTTTTATATATTATGTTTGAGATTATTTCACACAAACATACATATTCACATACTAAATTCTAAAAACAAATCTAATAAATAAATTATATTATATATATAATGACTTTAATATTTTTATTTAAATTATATTTTACAAATATCTTTAAATAATAATAATATATAAATTATATTAAAAATAAAATTATGTTAAAATTATTTAGAGAATCCAAATCACAAAATAAAAATAAGTTTAATATTTTTATTTAATTTTTAAACAATAATATATAAATTATATTAAAAATAAAACTATATTAAAATTATTTAGAGAATCCATATCGTAAAATAAAAATAATTTAATTTAAAAATAAAAATATTAAACTCATTTTTATTTTTAAGTCTTACATTGACTATAATTTAAATATATGTAAAATATAATTTATTTATTATATTTTTTTAATAATTTAATATATATTATGTATAAAAAATTACATGTGTGTATATATGCTCGTGTGAAATTTATTTAATTGAATTAAAACATTGATAAAATTGATAAAATGTGTAAATTTTAAGGACCAAATTTATTAACTGCCACATCACTGCCTCCGTTAAAAACTAACGGTCAGTGGCTAGAATGAACCATTTTAATAGTTGGATGGTTTGTTTGATCGCTTTCAAAAATTGGTGGTCAAAATGGTTTATGAACATAGTTTGGTGGTCACCCGTGTAATTTACCTTAATTTTAACAATGTTTTCTTCACCAAAGTACACTTATGCATGCAAATTCTTATTAAGTCAAATCTGTGTTAAGATATTTTCTATTTTCAATCCAATTATGTTTTATTTTTATATTTTCGACAATTTACATAAAAATTGGAGTTAGATTCAAATTCAATTCTTTAATAAAATTTATGTCAATGAAGAAATTGTTAAATATTTATTCAAATTCTAATTAAAAATAAAGCTAGATTTTGTTGTATTTCTTTTAATTGAAGATTATTTGGTGGTTAAATTTATCTAGTTAAAAATCTTTATTAAGGATTCTTGGCGACCAACAAGGTCCGTTTTAAGGAAACAAGCGATGGAAATAATGATGAATCAGCTAAGGTCATTGACGGTCTAGGAACGATACCGCAGTCCTATGCGGCGGCTTTGGCCAATAATACTCGTGTCACATCCCACAGAGATGGGATCCAAAAGGAGGAAGAGGAGGATGTCGATATCACTGAGGAAGATTCCACTACTGGAATCAAATTTGGTTGACCTTCCATTCAGTTTTCGGATAGAGCTTATCAACTTATGGAAGCAAGCATGGCCCGAACAGCTGTTCTGAAACTTCTAGGGAGGAATATTGGCCTCAACGTTCTAACCAAGAAAATTTTGTCGCTTTGGAAACCGACTCAACTCTTCATGCTAATGGATCTTGACAAATGTTACTTTTTATCAAGGTTCCAGTCGGAGGAAGACTATGATAAGGCCATCGTGAAAGCTCTTGGATTGTTTACAGTTCAGCTGTGGATAAGGGATTTCAGCACAACCCAACCGTAACCCACAATGATTATTGCTTGGATACAATTCCCTGGGCTGCCTGAGTACATGTACAAAAAATCCTTTCTTACCAATATTGGTAAGCTCGTCGGAAAAGTGGTGAAACTGGATTTTCATAGGAACACTAGCAACAGAAGAAGATTCGCCAGAGTTCAAAAAGCCTTTAATCTCTCGAATAGTTATTGGAAACAAAATTCTAAATGTGGAATATGAAAACCTTTCGCTTATCTTCTTTGCTTGTGGAAGATTTGGCCATTCAAAGGAAGTTTGCAATTTTAACCCCCAAGAACCTAGCCCTGGAGAGAATCCGAATAACAACCATTGTCGTAACCGGTTTTCACCCGGGCACGAATTTTTCTTGGTGGAAAAACAAGTGAATAAATGGTTTTTAATGAAAATGTTTTGGAGTCGCCATCGACATTTTTGGGTTAGGTAGGTCGATTACCTCAAAATCATCTTTTAAAAGAGTTTTTAAGAAAACATCAGTTAAAAGATAAACCGGTATGCATTTAACCAAAAATTATTTTTTTAGTAATAAAAAGGGATTCGTGGTCGGTTACGTTTAGGGAAAGATTAACACCCCTATAACGCCCAAAATTGGTACCTTTTTATTATAAATTGTCTCTATTAGCAGAAATTTAAGAATTCGAATATAAATTTAATTTATGATCCTATTATTTCAGATTCAATCGGATAATTTTAAAGAAAAATATATTAAAATATATATTTTTTATAAGTAAAGAATTTACTTATTTAAAAATATCAAAAATGACATCTAGTTACTTTAAGACAACCATTTTCTTAATATTAAAAAATAAATAAATATTAATAAGAATAATTATTCCTAAAAAATTTATATTAAAATAATTTGATATAAAAAAATAAAATAAGTATATTTTTAGGATTTTATAAGAAAAATATTTATTTATTTAAAAATATCAGAATATGGCATCTAGTTACTTTAAGACAACCCTTTTTTTAATATTAAAAAATAAATAAATATTAATATTCAAGCAAATATATACATTTATATGACTAAAATAAATTAATAATTAAATTAATAAATTAAACATTTGAAATTAGAAGGGTAAAAAAATTTAAATTGCAATTAAATAGTGACTAAAACAAATAAAATTAAAACAACAAGATTAAAATGTAAAATATTAAACTTAAGGCTTTAATTTGAAATATTATGAGATTAGGGATTAACAGTGTAGTGTAACCATAAGTAATTATTCGGGGTTCAAATATAAATTATTAAAATTAAAAGGATGAATTATGATATTTTACCTAAAATATATAAATAAGCATAGTAGGACTATAATATAATAAACTAAAATTCAAATACCAAATTAAAATAAACAGAAACATGCTTTTCGGGATTAAATTGTAAAGTATACAAATTACAGGGACCGCTGGTATAATTTCCCCATGCGCAAAAATTACGCAGGGGTCCCTCCCTTAAACGATGTCGTTTAAGGGAGGGTATAAATACCCTAATAAACCGGCCCTTAAGCCATTTTTCCTCATTTTTTTCTTTTTTCATTCTCTCTCTAAAAGAGAGATGAAAATTTTCTCTCCCTTCTCTCTATGATTCCCTCACCGGAGGGAATCCGACCACCGTTGGCCACCGTTTTTCGGCACCTATCCGAAAAATGTCAAAACACCCCATATGAGAGATCCAAACGTCCTAAGGCCAATTCCAGTCTCCTTTTCCCCTAAAAACCCCTAAATTACCTAGATATACAGAAATACCTTAGGTATTTCGATTTCTTTCAGCGGCGCGTGGAAGCTCTGGTCGCCGTGCAGTCTTCCTCGGTAAGCTTATCTCTTTTTCTTTTCATTATGTTTTGTTATTTTGATTGCTGGGTTTTTTTCTTGCTTGTTGTGTGTCTTCTTTTTATTTCGTAGGATCGGTGGCCTATAAGGCCACCGCGTTACTCGCCTAGGACTGGGTAATAGAGTACCCTTCGGTGAGTCAGCGAACCTACGATGGTGACTCACCCTAGAGCAACGATGTGGACGATTGCCCTTAAGTCTTCTGGAGACTCATGTTGAAGCGGTGGAGTGTGGTAGCAGGTAGTTGTTGGATGTCAGAGGCGGTGGCCGGAGTAGTCCCTAGGGTATCATAACCCTAGGGTTTCTTCTGGCGCATCTGTGACCATTGGATCTCTCCAGATCCAACAGCTGATGGTGTTGGCAGCTGGAACATGAGATGAAAACCCTAATCAGGTTTAAGGTTACAAACGTGGGCCAGTTCGGGTTGTCTGGACTGGGTTGGGCTTCTAGGTCTCCTGTTGGGCTTCTGAGATTTGTAATTGGGTTGGGTTGTTGAATTTTGGGTATTCAATAGTAATAATAATTTATTTATTAATAATAATAATAAAAAATAAATAAAATAAAATAATAATAAATGAAAAAATGGGCAAAAAACTAGTGTCTACAACTGCCCCTCTTTGCTCATTCTTGTGTTAACAAGAATAGGGAAAAGACGAAAAAGACAATAAGTTTTTTGTCCATTTGACTTCTCTTGATTAAGATGGAAATGTTGATGTTGATCTATCTCCTTATGCGATGAATTAAGCTAAGGTTGAACAAGTTCTTCAGATTATGAACTTCTTCTTCCTCTTCAAATGAGTTCTTCTTATTACAAACTCCTTCTGGAAACGTTGATTCTACTCTGTCTCCTTCTGCGATAGAGTCAAGCATAAGGTTGAATAAGTTCTTCAGATTATGAACTTCTTCTTCCTCTTTAGATGAGTTCTTCTTATTGCAAACTTCTTCTGGAAACGTTGATGCTGCTCTATCTCCTTCTGCGATAGAGTCAAGCAAAAGGTTGAATAAGTTCTTCAGATTATGAACTTCTTCTTCCTCT